TTTCATATATATAGTCATGTACGTGTGTGCGTGTATATATTTCTCATATATATATTCACACATATTTAACTTATATATACGAGCAAGTATATATACATATTTGCAAAGTGTGCGCATCCCCGCATCGCATATGCATTTCTGTGTCTCTAGGCACTTGATATAAATTTGTGTGAATGTTTATGTGCAGCATAAGTGTGTATACCCATCGACCAGCCATGACAGAAATCATCCTCTAATCGCGGGACTGCCGACCACGGTGTGTGTACGCTTGCTATAAACACATATACGCTATACACATATGTATTTAGTACGATGCAAGTATATATTTGTATAAAATATAGAATACGAGGAACAACTTACCATATCAAGTCGGCAAGGGTATTTTTGAAGGCAGCATATAAGTGCATATAAGTACAACATATATTTTATAGTGAGTACACACACTGCATAAATATGCATATCAAGTGTGCAGAAATACCCGAAGACATAAATATGTATATGTATATATGCTGCATTTATAAATATATCCACACACACACACACACATACACACACACTGCATAAATATATGCACGAATATGCACATTAAGCGTGTAAACACCCGAAGATACATATCTGTATAGTATATATACATTATATATATATTATATACTTCAAATATTTAATATATATAGTCATGTACGTATACTATATATAGTATATATAGCTACATTCATAAACACACACACATATATACATACACACACACTGCATATAGTATATGTCTATATATAGACACAGTACGGACACCATTTGCCATTTCAAATTCTTGTCTATGTATTATGTGCACATATTAAAATATGTCCATAGATGGGCATATATAAAAGACGTATACACACGCATATAGACATTGCATACATTATGCGTCTGTATATAAACACGTAGTTAGTTGCCACTGCAAATCCGTGCCTATTCATGACCCGTCTGCATGCACCTCTCTGTAGCGCGTGTGCACGCGGGTAGATCGCTGTAAGGCTATTGCAGCGCAGATCCAGCGGACGGGCAGCACACTCCGTGGGTCCCGGGAGCTCACCCTGTCTGTTTGCCAGGCCCAGGGTGCAGGAGCGTGTGCGTGGGCCGGTGCTTGTCCCCGCAGACATCCCGGTCGCCCGGTCCCAAGAGGGTGCCGGGACCCCCGCACGCACGTCCAGCCCCGGGGCAAGCCTGGAGGGCGCACAATGAGGCCTGGTGGTCTCTCCCGCCCCTGCGGAGCCGAGTCCCCTCCTCGTGCCCTCGGCCCCCGGGCCCGGCCGGCTCCTTCCCCGCTCAGACGCGGTGCCCGGAGGATCCGCGCTGCTCCCGCACTGCCCGGCCCTGGGGACCGGCCTGCGGCAGCTCTGCCCTGCCTTCTTGCCGCCGCTGCAGCACTGCCGTCCTCAGCATCTTCTTCTTCTTCTTCTTCACTATTTCCTCTGTTATTTTCATCATCTTGATCGCTACTACATGATTCACGTTCTCAGTACCATTAAAACAAGTATCGTCATCTTCGTGGTCTCTACTCTTATGATCTCAGATTCACCCATTATCATGATCACCATCACCTTCGTCACCATCACTATTATTATGATCGCCTTCACCTTTACTATTAACAGTTATTCGCCCTTCCCTCAACGCTATTACCCTTCTCGTCTTCTTCACTATTCTCGTTTTTGCCATCACCATCACCATCACTTGGATCGGTATCTTGACTGCTACTATTATCATTATTCTCATTTTACTAGAACAATCAGAATATCGTTGTGATTATCATCCGCTTCGTCACCATCACTATCATTATCATCATATAACTATTATAACTCTCATCTTCTTCATCACTGTTATCGTTATTATTACCACCCTTTCCCTCATTTTCACTATTATCATCGTTATTATGATCATTTTCATCGTCACTATTATCATTATTGTTATATATTATAGCATATTAATTATTACCTGATCATCTACGATCATTATCGTTGTCACCTGGTATCACTAACATCGTGATTTATAATGCATTATCATTATTATCACCTTTTGGTCATCTTCACTACTGTCATGGTCACTGTAATCACCCTCTTCATCACTATTATCCTTATTAATATCCTCATATTCATCAGCGCTATTATTATCATTAGATTGTTCTCTTCGCTATTAGCATCATCTTCGGCACCATCACTATTATCACGGCCATCACTATTATTATTTTCACCTCCACTATTGTCACTCTTATTACTTGCATCTTCTACACCGCTATTATAATTATTATCATCATCATCATTCGCATCATCTTCATCCCGGGGTCGCTGCCGCTGCGTCCCCCCCGCGTCTCCCCGGCGCCCCGCGCTCCTCTCCCCGCCGCGCTGCTGCCGTCGGGGCTTCTCGCCCCTCTCCTTCCTGCAAACCCACCGGCGGGCTAAGCAAAGCCCCGTCCGGGGCGGCCCCCAAATGACCAAACGCGTCGTTAAAAGACAAAAAATGAGAGAGAGAGAAAGAGAGAGAGGGGCAGAAAGCCCCCCGGCCGCCGCGCCCACCCCGCGGGGCAGGAGCGCGGCGCGGGGCTTTGCTCCTTCCCCCTTGCTGGGGCCGGGGCGGTGCAGGCTTGCTGGGCCCCCAGGCTGCCCTGGCCGGAGCAGAGGGGCAGG